AGGGTTGCTTACAGGCTCATTGCAAGCTTGGGTCTCTAGTTGAGAATAATATTACATATTGGGTGAAGAGATGTTAATATGACTGTATTACTTAAAGCCTATTTTGATAATTATTCCCCTGCAATAATGACTTTAAAGGAAACTCAACAACATATGGAGAAGTATTTTACTAATGGGTTTATGTGACAGGTTGCTGTAGTATTCTTCATATCATAATTAGGACATCTGAACCTCTTGTTTTGTGGTTTATGATGGTGAAACATTCAGCAGTACGTAATGTAGCCTAGAAGTTTTGATCCATCTGTAGTTAAAGCACTAGTTTACTCTTATTTGCTTTCTTGCTTAGGGCTAGATGAGAAGATTGATATCACCCTCAAGTCTGTTCACTAAATATGAAGCTTTCACTTAGCTTACCATAAAGACTGGACACAGAGGGACACAGTTAGCCTTTCATTTAGGTATTCAGTAATTATGGCCGCTTTTATTTAATACGCAATTTTAGATCCGTTTGCTGCGCTCTTGATGAACTGAAGTCAAGGCGATGCTGACTAAACAGTAACACACAAACAACTGAAAAAAGTTGTTTGGGTTGTGCATGAAGACTCCTTGTATTTTGACATAATTTCAATATTTCTGAATCAAATATGAAACTAGGCTGCACTCTCAAAATACTAATTTTCTTGTTTTATTTTGCAGTGTTTCAAGCACAAGCCATCTTCAGTTTTTTTTTTTCTTCCAGCTGGCACTTTTGTTTATGCATCTTTCAACATTCAATCAACTTAGCCCTCACAAACCCCTGGCTGACCGTGTTGTTTTTCTTCTCTCACATCGCAGAAGCAGAATTACTTTGTTCACCTTGTGTGAAAACACATGTGAAAAACATCTGTAGACATATGACAATCACCAGTTGTCAGCTGTTCCGCTCTTGAGACTGCTTCTAAACATGCTGCACTGAATTATATTTCTATCTTTTTAAAGTCATTTACAGACTACTAGAGACCTGTGTTCACTATAATTATGGATCCCTTAATTTCAACTGTAAATTAAAGTCTTTATCTTTTGATTAACATCAACAAGTTCCTTGTTGGTTTGCCTGCGTCCTAGAAAGCTACATTTGTCATTGCTCATCCGTACTGACAGAAAAGTACGACTAATTAGTCAGATCTAGTTTTTAAAAAATCATCCATTTAAAATAATAATTATTCCTACAGATTTCACTCTTTGGCGTCTGCTGTCCCCATATCTGGACTGAGTGGGTTTGTCTTAAATATGGAGCAATAGGAGTTGGGGATTACTAGCTAATTAGTGTAACTGTGTCATGGGATTAATTAATTCAAAGCATTTACATATATTCTAATTGTTTTACCAGGCTAATTGGCATCACTGTGCCACTTTTGTATTATTTGAGGATTGTTGAAGTTTGTTTGCTTCCAGTGAAAGCCAGTATGTCAGACTTCAACATGTTGTTGCTGTTATTGTTGTTGTTGTTGTTGTTGCTCTATCAGCTGTTTAACATGTTGAACCAGTAGAACAGAAATTCATTATTCAAAACTTGTTCATTGGAGAATTGGTACAGGTCCAACATATACTGTGCTTACTGTAATGAAAGTCGTGATTTGTATTATTACTTCTGTGGTATTGTTATATTGGAAGCTGTGAGACACCTGAAACTTGGTAAGTAAATCTAAAAATAAGTAAATCTATAATGTAAATTGTACATAATAATAAATATGGCAATCTGTTGGATCACTTAAACATAAAATTAGAGTTATAAAAAACTATAGTAACTATAGTTTATTTAGGATTGAAACCACTCTCTTGAGTGGATTAGATAAACAAGTCATATAAGACAAAGTTGGTTACAAATTTCATCATTTCTGGTAGCAGCTTTGATTTCAAATACATTGTTTCTTTTAATAATTTACTTTCTTGTCATTTTATACTATATCTAACAAATCCTGAAAACTGGGAAAATCTCTTCTAAATTAAAAAGAACCTAAAACAAAGACATTCCCCAATAGAATGAAACATATAAAATTAAGGATCCATTAATCCTGAATGATTTCACAAATTAAATAGGAGTTTTTTATGATGACAGTCTTAATCAGATGGTCTTTCAGTGTAGCATATGAGGCTTAAATCCTGCTAAGAAAACCTAACCAGAGCTCACAGGGGAGCACAGTGAAATTTGCTTGAACATACAGTAAAGGGCAATGTAAAACTCTATTTTAAATTAAAACATTAAAAAGCACCAAAAAGGGGGTCATAAGGTCATGCTTACGTATAAAGTCACTTTGATTACTACCACCAACTCACTGTTTGTTGTTTCCAATAGGCTGAAGACCACTCATTAAAATGTTACAGATAATTGATGCTCATCTGTGTAGCCGAGCATGCCTCAAAATTCCAAGCTAATTTAGCTGTACCCTGCAGAGTGAGGGGGCTTGAGTGGGAGGACAAATTGGCACAAGGTAAGACTTCTTTTCCAACCCAATCTCCTTTTCTCTGCATAATTATATGAATTAAATTAATTGGGGGAATGCGCATTTGCATATCTAGGTTATTTCTCTTATGGAGGAAAAAGTCTTTGGAGAGTATAGAAACAATTACAAGGCTGCCAGACGGTAAAACACCTCCATTTCCTCCTTCACGTCTGCCGTTTCCCCCAAGTGCTTTATTCCAGGGAGGATTCGGCCTTAGCACTCTAGAGGAATGATGTGATAACACCACAGTGCAATATGTGCAGGAGTCACATCCATGAAGCAATTTAATGGACTTTGCAGCTACTTTCAACAGTGCAGCATCACCTGATATCTTTAAATTACTTTGAACACTTGTAGGTGTTTAGAAAAAAAAAATTGAGCAATTTGTTTTTGGCGGGGAGGGAATAATAGAAATTAAGTTCAAAAGAAAATTTGATTGGACCTGTGTAATCTGATACATGCTAGTAAATGGTATGAGGGAATCTCATTTTCTGCTCTTGCCTAAGAAATCTTTACTGTTGTGTTGTAAGAAAACTGGGCCTAATTTGGTAGAAAGCCATTGCTATTTTTAACCAACTAAGCTGCTGCATTATGTTGTCAGAGGTGAAAAGACCGCTAGACTATCCAGCTCTGAATTAAGACTTTTTATGACTCTGCTCCTCCAATTCACCGCTGTCCTCTCTTTTAATACAGTATCTCCAAAGTGGTGATGATAAATTCTTCTAGCTCGGGCTTCGGTTTGTAAATTGTCACAAAATAACAATATCAGAGCCCATGGTGACATCTTAAAATGTCTTCTTTTGCCTTTGAATCAGTCCAAAGCCCAAAGATATTCAATTTATTATCATAGAAGACAAAGAAAACCAAAAAATATTCCCATTTCAAAAACTGGAAAAACTGCTTAAAAATGACTTAAATGATTATTTGATTATTAGAATAGCTGCTAATCAATTTTGTCAGTCAACTAACTGATTAATCAACTAATCATTTCTGCTCTACTTATAGCAAAACTAACAGATTTCCTTATGATGGCAAAAAGGTTTGAATTAAACGTAAACTGAAAATCTTCCTGATTGAGCACAGCTCTGTGATTCCTGCATTTCCAAGCGGAGTAAAGTGTAACATTCCATCAAAATTGATGTTTATAGAAGCTGAATTACTTAACTCAAACATACTCAACATACACGACTAAATTACAGTGATCGGATTTGTAATTAGTGAATTTCCACCCCTATGTGCTCTAACTTGGTCTCTTTCGGCGATGACCCTGAAGGCAAATCAGTTCTGCATTATGAGGCTGGAGATTTTGCAGAATTTCCTCCAAATGAGGCAGTCAAATATGAGTTTATGATCAGGGTCGCAGACATCCACCCACCACAGAAGGCACTTTTGCAATCTAATGTTTGTCTGCAAACACCAAAGTAACACTTCACCAACAGCCGGGAAAAAGAAAATGATGGTTTCTAAGTAGTTTTTTTTTAAACTAATTGGTAATTCTCAATTCAACTAATCAAGGAAATGTCTTAAGGAAATAGTGTTTCTGAATATGTGGAGATAACCAGCCAGTAAGCTTTTAGCATTTAATTTATTTATGGCCCCACCAAATAAAACCGTGCCACAAATGGAGAGCAGTTTGCTCAGCTGTGTAGTCAGCATGTCCATCCATGGACACATTAATTGTATCCCTATTGTCTTTTTTTTTTTTTTCCCTCCGCTGCTTTCATCTGATGTTTGGTTCCATTCAGCCCGGCGTCCTCATCAAAGGTCGTGCGGCTCTTCCCCACAGCCAATGGGCATGTTTGATATTCCATTCTTTAAGCCGCATCAAGAAAGAGGGCACTTATAAACTGAAGCATGTGTGACAATCTCTGCGGCATCATGGCAGAGAGACCCAGAGAGGGTCTCTCACTGTGAACTTTTTTTGTCCACCAATTTAGAAAATGTCATTATTTTGAGTAAGAAACCCAGCTATGATGTTTACTGTTTTCTGTAACCTTATCCTGGTACAGCTTATGTTAAGAGTTTTTAAAGTGTGCATCAGGATTTTCTGTTTTTGAAGAAAGACTGATCAAATGTGGCCTCAAAAACACACAAATAGTATGAACCACACTGGATAATATTTGTTAAAATGTTTTGGGTTGATTTGGAATTTTTTTTAAGTTATGAAAATCAGTTTTGAAGATTCTGCTCAATAATTCCATTAAAGAGATTTTCAATATAAAATGATTTTTATGTCAGATTTTCCATATAAAAGCTTTGAACCACTGTGCCACCTTCTGGTACAGCAGATCTCTCTTTGTCATGTCACATTCTCAGTGTGAAGTGAGTATTTGCTGCCCCCTTTGGGTCATTAATGTAAAGTGCACACTTTGCAAATGATAACTGTTTACACATTTAAATTAGACCCATGGATAAATGGTCAGATATTGTGACTGTGAAATGAATAATACACAAGTTGGGTTTTCTTTATTGTGTTTTTTCACCAAATGAAAACAGATTTTGCAGAAAGCTCTCGTGTTGATGTCAGTTGTGAAGTTTCTGCTTGATCTTCACCTCTGGTTGGCACACTGTCACACAGCCCTCGAAGTTCAGATAGGGCTCCATAGCAAGAGGTTTGCTTGACTCCTCCGTGTACAAACATGAAGAGATCAAATGGATCAGACTCATGATGGTCATCATGAGCATAAAAAACCCTAAAGATCATGAAACTCAGGGTAAATGTCGACAATAAAAATAGAAATGTGACTGATAAATATGCATTCACCACTCTCTTTTAGGATCTTACCGCAATAGACTGTGTTTGCAGTGAAGTCATGGGAACGATAGCTTCTCGTGAACATTGCACCCAGGCCCAGAATGAGAATGGTGTAAACGCCGAATGTATAGCGTAAGTGCTTAGTTAACAGGAAGCTCTGCAGGATGAACCTGAGGGGAGCAAAATGTGTTTTCAGTCATTTACGTCCATAATTCTGCTTTACAACCAAAACACAAAATCAAATATTAGACATGCCTTTAAATCTCCAGTGTTTCTGTTCTTACCAGGTTATAGTGCTCAAGGAGACGATGGCGAGCACGATGGTGCTGACCAGTGGGTCCGGTACACCAGCTTTGTACTTAAGCACAATACCAAAACCGACCACAGCGTTCAAGAGAGACCACCAGGCAAACACTGCCAATCCGTTCTGGGTCTGCCACAAATGAATAAATCACATGCGTTCATGTAGAGATACCTCTAAATTCACACAACTGATGATGGTGAAATGGTAAATTTGACCTCACCAGGTATCGTGTCCACGAAATCACACTGGGGTTGTTGATGGCTAGCCAGGCTTTGTGCTTGCTGAGGTTAGAGTAGGACATGTAGAGCATGTAGAAGCTGAGGGCTGGTAGAATCCATCTGAGTAAGACAGCTCCATATATATTGCTGTGGAAAACAACAGCAGCTTTAGATAGTTATGGATGTATTTCTTTGTGAGAGTCAATGTTGCTGCAGTTGTGTGTGCTACTGGATAAAACATCATTGTGCATAACTTACTGGCTGTCCCATAGAAGCATGCTGCATATTCTTGCAACGTTAATGACAGTCCACATCAGATAAAATACTGGCGGGTGGATTTCCGGATTGCAAGACTGTGGACCGAGGACATTTCTACAGATGGAGCAGTAAAAGTATTAACTGTAATCACATCTCTATGTAATTGTTTTAGTGGTGGAGTCCACCATACCTTAGATTCAAATAGCCTTGCTGCGCATACCTACATGACTTTGTTTGGCTGCACTCTAAACAGATATATTAGTTACCATTCTGTTGTATTTAACTGTTTGCTGGTAAACCATTTTTCTGGTATTGTATTACGTTTTAAAGATGAAATCTTTGATACCTTTTAAAAAGGCTGACCACTGCCTCCACAAGCCAAGTCATCGACCAAAAGTCAATCATAATCCAGTAACTTTCCGACCACCAGTCCATAGTCACCTCCAGGGAGAAGGTCTCAGACACATTCCTGAATGAGGTCTGAAACAGAGCTGAAGAAGAAAACAGCTGATCCTCGGTTTGGATTTATGAGAAATTTCCGGACAGTGACACATTTTAACTGGGATATTAATAGGGTAACATCTATAATCAGGGTTTTGATTTGTTCACAGCAAGTATGCACTTGACATTTTATGTGAGAGACTACCAGTCTATATTGCAAGTGCAGAAGCTTGTTATATGGCCTTGTTAGTTTAATTGGCTTCCATCCAGGATCAAATGGCTGGCAGGGCAAAGGTCGTCAGTAAGACGTGCACAGCAAAAATGTCCTTATTTATGATAATGTATTTAATATATTCTTGCTGTCAAAAAAGTATTTCTCTATAACAATAACTATTCACAACCAAATATGCAGCAATTAAAGCTGAAAAATATATGTATGTGTCATTTATTGTGAGTTAAACACTCATTACTGATGATGAAGATTCAAAAGTACTTTTCTTTTGACTACACACAGTAACATCACCACGTGGACAAGACCAGCTTATGAAAACCATCAAATTCAGTCCTCTCAAGCTCTGAATATGACATTTTGGTCTGACAACATGATTGAAATATTCTGTAGAAGTCGAGTCACTCACCGTTGGGCACGCTGCTGTCCTTTACCAGGCTAAAGAAGATGTCTGAGATCACCTGACTGATGACAGCCAGGGCAATGCTCCAAGCATGTATCACTAGATGGTCACTGTTTCTCACTGAGAGGAGAAACATCTTGGACCTCTCCATAGTGTCTACAGCTCAGACTGCTGTGAGACACAATATTTGTCACCACAATCTTATATTTTGGACTTTGCATTGCTGAACTGCTAAATTTTATCTCTTTGATTACATTGTGCGTGCGTGTGTGTGTGTGTGTGTGTGTGTGCGTGCGTGCGTGCGTGCGCGTTTGTGTGTGTGTGTGTGTGTGTGTGTGTGTGAGAGAGTACGGGTAAGATTCAAAAGTCAATCAACTGCCTCTCCATATTTTATATGATTACAAACGTCGTGTCTTTGTACTTGTCATTAGGCAAAACTACCAAACTGAATGCAGTTTTATTACAATTAATTGGCTATTAAAGAAATTGTTAGGATCAGCTTTAAATATGTTGTTTCTCTTTGAAGTTATTCTTTTTTAGCGAAAGGTTCAATTGCCTAAATGTGTACTTTCTTAATAAAATGTGCTCCAAGGAGATTTACAAATATTGATGTAAATCCAATCACACAAGAAGATATGATATTCTTCATTGATTTTTTTAAATTTCTGTCTTAGTCATAATTAATGTCTACCTTACCATACATTACTATCATATGCATTTTTGTAATCTTATTTATGTCTACGCCTTTGGCCATTATTTGGCTTTACAGTTATTAAGTACAATTATAATATTTTTGCGCCTGAATTCTATTAGATCCCTGATTAAATTCTTTCCTAGCACTCTTAATAACCCACCATTTGCTCAGTGTAATTTAATTTTGTTCTGCAGAGAAAAAAGAGAACATTTAGATTTTAAAATTCCTTTGAAAAATTTATCAAGAAATTATACATAATTTTTTTTTTTTTACATTTGTTCATTTTGTTTTATGTAAGGACTAATGCATAATTTTTCAGTATTTACACATTAATTGTATTTGTTGTAGTATAACCATTGTAAATTTTAAGTCAACTAACATTTCCATCCAGAAAAATACGGAAAATACAACATCATTCTAAGCAAACAATTCAAAGAAAGAGTTTCCTTTGTGTCAAGGCAATTTCTACCGGTGACATATTGAGTCCATTGTCTTTGTAAAGTGGTCGTTTGTGGTGCTTCCATGCGATCAGAGCAATGCGAGCCACAATTATGATGCAGGAAATGGCCAGGATCACAGCTGAAGAGGAAGGAAGAGATCAGATATAATTTTGATCAGAGAAATTCAATTAATCACCAAGAAGAAAACAGAGGAAGGTGCTCATTTCCCTCAGTTCAGGTGTCAGACAGTACCTTCAAAGATGTAAATGTAACTTTCAGTAGAGCCAGAGTTGCTCAGGGTGCCTGCCAACCACAGGATTACCACAGGGTAGATGGTCACAATATAACGCACATGCTCATCGAGGTAGAAGTTCTCGAGCAGAAACCTGGGAGACAAAGACAAAGCATTTGGGTTCCTCTGCTCAGGGGAAGACATAAACACCCACCAGCTAAACAACATAACACAGCAGGGAGTCAGGCTCACCACATTAACAGCACCATCAGAAGCAGCAGCAGTGAAAGCATTCCACAGTCACATCTCGATGTTTCTGTCTGATACTGTAAGTAAATCGTCAGGCTCAGCAGAGTGGAGAGGGTCCCCTGTGTTGCGTACACTGCTACTCCATTTTGCACCTGATTCATCACAATGGAAGAAGACGTTAAAGCTTGAACGGTTGAAATGCAAATAGCTAGGCCTGAAATGAACAATCACTCAAATTTTTTTTGTTGATAAATTGGTTAGTCTATAAAATCTCAGACAATAGTGAAAAATGGCGGTGGACTTATTGTTTCAGCTCTACAAGCAGCCCATTTGAAAGCCGTGAGCAGCTTCTGTGGCGTCTGGCAGCGTTTTAATCCTTCAGCTTTTGGCAGATTCTCTGTAAGCTTCAAATACAGTCTACCGCACAGGATGCCGGTGTGTCACGTGACCATATCTATCACCTCTTCTTTAAGTGAAGTGCGAGGCAAGGAGGGACTGGAAACCAATCTCAAGGTTTGCTATGGCCTAACTTGGGTGCTTCTAGCCTCCTAATCTCAGACCACAGTTGCCTGGTGCACAGACTCTGCAGAGCCAGTGGGACTGAGCACTTCGGTGAGGATTCACTCTTTAGATATGGGTGATGGAGCAGCCAGCAGCTTTGGAACCAGCGGCTGGCTTCTTTAACCTTATAGTTTATCAGCCGTGTGCAGTGGGACTTCACGAATGGGAAGCTGTAATAAAATGCGACTTTAAAGGAGTAGTTTGACATTTTCCGGAAAACACATTTGCTTTTTTCTTGCTTATATTTAGATGAGAAGATCATTACTACGTTCATGTATGTGTAGTAAATATGAAGCTGCAGCCAGGAGATGGTCGGCTTGGTTTAGCATGAAGACTGAGAACAGGGGAAACGCTCGTCCAGGGGAAATGGGTGGCAAGAGAATAGCAACCAGACCTTCTATTTTCTCTCTACTTTTCGTTCCCTATTAAGTTGAATAAGTTCACATAGTATATTCGAATTTGAATTTTCAAATTATACCATTGACTCCACGTCGATGGGGGCCTTACATGGGCGTGTGTTTAGAACTACTGTACAGGGCCAAGTTTGAGCGTGAATACAAGTGAAACATACAAAGAAGTGGATACAGAGAAGTCGAAAGAAGCGATCTACTGTATGCCCTTGCACTCCTCCATGGCAGGGTTGTAAAATTCTGAAGAAGTCATCGTGGCGGCAATGAGTTTCTCCTCCATGGTCACAGTCTTCTAAGTTTCCAACTGTAAAACGCAACAGTGCTTCGTGGTAAACAAGAGACTTCTTCCCTTGGGTGTATTCGGCCTGATCATCCACTTACATGATTGGCCTACGCAGTGCCTTGCTCAACCAAGCTGAAGTGTTTCTTCACATGATGTAGTGTCATTTTAGAGAGTGATAAGCTTCAATAGCTTCCTCTATGTTGGACTCTGTGGCTCTCTATCCCCTCAAACATCAGCTTTATCAATCTTTTCATCTAACTCTAGATAAGAAAGCAAATGAGCGTATTCTCCAAAATACCCAACCATTCCTTTAAATACAAAATTTTATAGGAGAAGAAATAAGGAAAGGTTGACTTCAGACTATGACACTTCCTTGGTTATTATGTGTATCACAACATGACCTATAAAAACAATGTATTTCCAAAATGTCAACTTTAATGAGGTAAGAAAAACAGCTGTTTTCAGCTTTATGTCAATGCATTTTTCTGATGGTTCTTTAATTGGATTGTTTAGGTTAAGAAGTAGGACGATGTTTTCAACCCGTAATGGAAAACCTCTCTGAAAATTGCAAAATCACCAAATCTGGAGAAACATGGTTTTCAGTGGACAATGCTGATAGTCGCTGCAATAGGAAGCTGGAATTACAGCTTCCTATAAAGCGGCTTATTATGTATACACCACACAGATCGTGTTATGCCTGAAAATATGGATTATGTTTTCCATAGCAATAAGAATAACATGTTGTTTCCAAATGCAGCGAGAAGGAAATGAAAGCAACTGACAAAGTTAATGTTCAAGTACAATAAAGGTTAAAATTTACCCTACACTTCCACATAAAATGACATTTTAATCTTTACAGTACTCAAACTCAGAGTATCTTAGATTTCTGTCTTTTTCCATATGAGTTGCCCTTCACTCCACAGAGCACCTTTGTTTGCTAAATGTGTGAATTTCTGACTGTTTCTGTAAGTCAAAGACATCTGATTGTCTGGCTGACATTCAGCCCCCTTCCTTCCCTGTTTACATGTTGTTATGAACCAAAAAAACAAACAAATATATATTTCATTGAGAAATGATAAACAGAAAAGGGCTATGATATAGTTTTACCAATATTCTGAAAAGCCAGAGGTCTGCCTTGTGATATTTGTTCAACCAGGCTCCATAGATCTTCAGTCCATGACAGGAGAAAAAGAGGATAATGTAATTGGTGAGCGTCATTAGTGCTGATATTATCAGCAATGGTAGCAACAACCTGTAGACACATGGAAAAACAAACATTTAAATTATTGTGAACGACAGCATAAAAAAAAGAAGAAAAAAAAAAAAGCTTTTTAGAAATAGAGGAACGTGTAGGTGGACGACCTGAACTTACACACTTACTCTCTGTCAAACAAAAACAGCCATGTAATGTTCAAGCATGTTTTGATGATAATGGCGACATGAAATCCATAGGGTAACACTGCAGGCGTGGTGTACATCCAGTCATAAGCAGTCCTGCGGGGAGCGAGGATACTGTTGTTAGAGGGAGGGAAAATACACCACAGCAAACAAACTGTGCCTTTGGGGAAATAATCGCAATGTCAGAGCAATCTGCAACATATAAAGAGAAAATGACTGCACAGAAGAAGGCTGGTGCCTCTGGAATAGGTGGAGTGATTTGCCACATGCAATAATACAAAAGACAGTTCTGCGGTGTGATGCAGCCATTTAGCATAATCATTGTTGGTAAATTATGTGTGAAAATGATGCAGAAGCCTACCTTCTACAGAGTCCCATTAAAAAGTATATAAACATGGCAAAAACCCAAAGATATGTGAAATCCCAGACAAACAGAGCCCATTCTGCAGGAGTTAAGGGTGTTGAATACTTGAGTGTCACATCTTCTGTGCTCTGCTGGAAAATACCTGAACCAAGATAATCACATTTTATTATATATTTTATACATACCATACTTTACACAACCTTAAACTGATTCAGTTTATCTGACAAATATTCACCTGATTTAGCACCGAATCCTGACAGAGAGTTTAATGTGATCGCGGCTAAAAACGTAAGTAATCCAAGAAACATGAGCACAACTCGGGCTGAGTCGTGGTTTACCATGGTGATGGTCCGAGGGTAAAAGTCCGCAAGAAGATACAACTACCAATTTAGACAAAAAAGGAACAATGCCAACAAAACAATATTTTCACCTTACATAAAAAAACTGAATCTATGCTTGAAAATACATATCTATGTGCCTGTGTTGTCAGTCTCTCGGGTTCTTCCACAACAAAGCTAGT